ATGTAGGTATTTTGCAATATTTGCAGATTAGGTAGGAATAAGAAAAAGAGGATTAAGACTTTGAGAATTTTGTTAAATAACAAATATGGATGTAAATATTAATTTTGTAAGGGTGGTAAATAAAAGCAAGGGTTGTATTGTGGAAGTGTTACTGAGGTAGTGCTAGAGTGTAACTAGAATGGTTAGGGTCACTACTGTGACTCGGGTACTGAACACAACTGTAATTTGTAATACAAATTATTGTGTAATATAGATAGGAACCAAATATAGTTATAATAGATTATGTTGAATGAATATCTATAAATAGGTTGGTTATAGATGTTAGTATAAATTAATAAGATATGGAATTGGAAATGATTATATAGTTACATAAAAAATGTATAAGGAAAAAAGAGAATAAGGTAAAGACAAAAAGTAGAAAAAGAGTTTTGCAAGATAGTAAATATTAAATTTAGTTGTAGTTCGACCAATATTAGGTCAAAAGTCTTTGTTTAGGGCTTGTTTTGCCCAGGTGACTGTATACTACAACTTTAATTAAGGATATAGAACAGGTTAAGGCAGTAGAAACTGCAAGATGATTAAAAGGTATAAACTGGAGACCAAAGGCCGTCAGTACAGTTTACTCGATGAGTTTAAATTATTAAAGCTTAATATTTGCAGAATATATATAAAATAATGAGTTGACCAAGTTTACTTAAGAGCCCAGGACAGATTGTCTTAGTAAAATAAATAGTTAAAAGAGTTTTTAGACAGATGAATTTTTTGTTAATTTTTGTGAAATAGATTTGCAGAAAGAGAATAACAAATTATTAGAACTTATTTTTTACAATAGATAGCTCTATATTATTATAAATAGCATTAATAACATACTTATAAATACTAATATAAATTTAATTACTAAATATAACAGTTAAATAATTATCTAACAGATAGTAAGCATTTAAACAATAACTAACCAAAATAATACACATAATGATAAAAAAAACAATAATAAAATAAAAACTGAATTTGTTGATACAAGTTACTAGACAAAATCTAGATTCTAAACCTATAGTTAAGTAACTAAACAAAATATTACAATATACAAAAGCATGTAAACAGATAATAAGTAAAATTATAACAACTATAAATAGATAATAGGCAATTAAATATTAGAAAATTAATAAATTTGTAATTTACAAATTACAAACAAAATACATTAACTATACAATTTACCTTGTAATTGAAGCAATATTTATACATCTAAATATTACTTTTTTTTTTATTTTTATAAAAACAAAAATTTTATATTTTTACAACAAGCTGCTTATAAAGAATTATTTAAAAAGTACTAACAATATACAAAAACATAAATATAATTACTATTACTAACAAACTAATCAGATATTTAATATATTAAAAACTCTGACAAAAATTACAATAGACTTTATTACTAACAAAAATTTTAATGCATTAACTTCCAAAGCAGTCTTTCAAATAATCAAATACTATAAGGAATTTATAAAGAAGCAACTACTTATCAAAACAGAAGACATATAGAAGACAATTTAAATAGTATTTGCAACACAACTTGAACCTTTTTTTGCAAACTTAAAATATATATCTAAGAATATTATACAAATATTACTATTTAAGCTACTAATTGGTTAATATATATATATATTATTGTTACTTTATTGCATAAGATCTTTCATTTTGACTAATTACTAGCTAAATGCTTCACTAAATTAGAACTATTGCTAACAGAAATATTAAAACTAAACCTAGTATATTTTTAATTACAAGCTATAGCATATTATAGAATCTAGTATTTTATAAAAAAAATCTATAAAACTAGTATAACTACACAAGTATTTTACCAATCTTTCATCTTTAAGCTAATTTTTTTTATTAGTCTATTAAGTCCTTAGTAACAAATATAGACTCTACTTTTTTATTAATATACAAGACCAAGATACAAACTTATTAGACCTTTTACAATAGCTAAGAAAAGACTACTATTTTAAAAATATTTCAAATAAATACTTTAAAGCCAAGCCACCACTTCCAAAAAACTTAAAAAAAATACAAACTTAAAATATTTTTACATTTCTAATATAAGAAAACATAATTGCAAAATGCTTTGTTAAACAGATATTTACTGTTTACAAATTTTTATATAAATTTTTACCAAGCATTATAACAGCAAATTCTATTAATAAACCTTGATTACCTGATAATCTACAACTTATTAATAATTACAATATTACTACTTTTATAACTTCAAGAAAGCAGTTAGTTAACATAGCAAAAATGTTTAGAAAAAACCATTACTTTTATTGAATTTTAGATACTTGGATATAAATAAATAAACCTACTAATAAATTTAATAAAAAAAATACAACATCTAATTCTAAACAACAATTTAACAAATCAATTATTTCTAATACTCTATTAGCTATTGTGAAACATTTAAAAACAAAAAACATATATATAGAATATATAAAAAAAAGATATATAAAAAAAAGATTTATATATACACCCTAACCTTTAAGAAATTCCACATAATTGTATACAATACTGCAAGAATCTTAATACAATATTAATGTAACTGTTTAAGGTTAAGAAAAAAATGGGTATGTATAAAATTTTTATTAAAACAAAAAAATAAAGCAATCAATCATTTGACAATTAATATGTATTTTGGCAAGAAACAACTTTATTTGATAAAATTGTTAATCTGTTTTAAACTTTGTCTAAGTTTTAATTAATAAACAAAAGTGCATACTTTAGAATTTACAGAACCATGATGTATTTTAAAACTATTTTTTAAATAGAATTGATAGAATTAATATTCGAAATAACTGAAAGTCTAAAATGTTGCTAAACTAAGGCTAATACTAAAAGAAATGTTAGGGTGATTTAGAATTAATGATCAGATTTACTATTTAAAATAAAGTTAGTGACGTATTTGTTTCGAAATAAGCAACCTATAAATTCTATATATAATATAATCAAAAAAATTTTCTATCGTTATTTAATCGGGGTTTCGGATGTTTTTAAATTCCCACTTATTTTTGAAATAAATTAAAACGTATCCCGACTTTCTACAGATTATCGCTTCATTATCTTTCCAGAAAATGCTCTGGCCATTTTCATAGAATTCCGATAAATTTCAGGTAAAAAAAAAAAAAAAAACAAATCCGGATAATATTCGGCTTCTAATTGCAATGAAGCACAAAAGATTAGAAGCCGAATCTTACCTGTATTTGATTTTTACCCCAAAATTGCTAGGATTCTATAGAATTATCAGGGATTTGTTTCGAAAAATGAGAAAGATAATCTGGAAAAAAACGGGATATGTTTTTCGACAAATTTTTATAGGGTTAATGAGAAATATGTAATACTAAACTAATGTTAAAATAAATTTTTTTATCATGTTTGATGTTAACTTTTAGATATGATATGAAATTCATTAGTCATAAATGAAATCTTTCATTTAGATTGAAATAAGATTAGTCAATTGCACGAATGTGTAGAATGTGTACTGACTATGGCTGGGATTTTTGCAAACAATATGCAAGCACTCTATCGATATTCAACTAGTTAGACTGAATATTGATTAGAATGCCGATGATAACCAGTATACATTCAACATATTCGACAGCCAATTAATCTAACTTCAATTAGAGCGAGCTGATACTGATTTTTTTTTATTTTGACTAGAATTATAAACATTGCAAATCTGTAAACACAAGTATATAACATAAAAGAGCCATAAATAGATATCAGTAGAAAAAAATACCCCAGATACCGTACAAACACTCGTGGGCGTTAATTTAAAAATCATGTTCTTCAAGAATAGCCCATGGGCGTTCTAAATTAACGTGCATCAAAATATAACTAGTGATTATATTCAATTTACGATAACAGCTAGCCGAGTAAATGTATCAGGTGGTCTCTGTACTTATTGGCCTAAATATTTGAAGTAAGCTATATTCAAGTTCAAATATTTCTTGGCATCATGACATGGTTAATCAAATTAAAATAAGTTATATTAATTTTATACGGATATACTCATCAATCGAAATAATGCCCGAAATAACGTGTAGTGGCGTTATTTTGTGCTTGTAGGTATTGGGCTTTTAAATAATGTATATATATTCCTTATAAATATTTTAAAAAATTTAGTTAGTATATATATAGTAGGTTTTTTTTATTGTTTTAGTAATACTATTTTTTGGTATAATATTTTTCATAGTTAATATGTAATTAGGAACCATTATAAAAAATAAAATAAAAAAAAAAATCTTAAATTAAAAAAAGATTTTTTAATTTAATTGGATGTACTGTATTACAATTGCCTTCACTACAGTATAGTTACATAATCTGGAAAAAATTGATGTGACTACGTATATACGTAGTAGTAGACACTTAGTAATAATCAAGCCGAGCGACTACGTATAACAAGAGTCAATTAACTATATATGATTAATTGATTGGTATGTATGTACGTACGTTTTACAAAAAATTTGACCAATTATCATAGAACATTGTACAATAATTCTCTTTTGTATTTTTGTTTCAAAACTTTTTGGTATAATATGAACTTTTTTAATCATTTTTCTAATCTCTTAAAATAAGCATGAAAAAAATTTTGATAAGAAATATTTGGAAACTGAATAGCGTAACAAAAGGTTTTTTTTTGAAGAATAGGAGTTGAAAAGTTCATTGCTCTGCGTATCTGTGGTAATATCAGATAAAAAATTATTCTTCTACAAGTGATTCAAAATTACACTAGCATAAAGTCGGCTTAATGACCGATTTTTTAAAAACTATATAGTCGACTTGACCAATAAATTTTAGGTCGACATTGTGTCCGAAGCTTGATCATCGCAGATATCTATAACGTCATAGATGATAACCAATGACTTACTAAGACATCTGTTCTGTAAAAAAAAAAAAAAATCATTTATCATTTATCATGGTTGATAATTTGATATGCTTATGTAATCACGAACTTATTCGGCAATATCAGGTATATATTTATAAGACATGTCTGAAATAACAAATGGTTCGGAAAATACGATCATTAGCAAGCTTCCGGTTAAAAAAGGTGATAAAGGCGCACATAGGGATTTTATAAAATTATATATCTTTAAACTTTTAAATCTTTTTTTTCGCATTTATTTGTAAACAAGTGAACACTTTTATCATTATGAGTTTAGTAAACAGCGTATAGTTGTTACATGATGATGATCGCACATAGAAAATTTGTAACAGGTTATGTCAATCTCCGAATTTCAAACTCAACATTGCAAAAATTAATGTTAAATTGAGGATCTATATTTAAGCTTGTTTGATGACTACTGTTTTGAAAAAGTTCTGTTTTTAGTTGCCGCTCTGAGAATGTTCTGTTTTTAGTTGCCGTTCGGAGAATGTTCTGTTTTTACTATTTATTATTTTTAATTGTACAAAAAATTGAATTAATATTTCTACTCTGGTATTTGTATAACGATAAAAATAAATAATTTTTCCATCGATATATTGCAAGCTTTCTATAATTAAGAATAAATTTTCTAATACAATCTTTTATTTGAGAAGTTTCTATTGCATCTTTATTGATTTATTTTATAAATATTAAAATTGCCTTTTGTTTCAATATTATTTTTACAGAATTATTATACATAAAATATTATTCATCGATTTGTTTGAAAATAATTAATCGAATTTATTATTTATTTATTTCTTTTTTAAAAAAGGATATATATTGATTATGTTTTTTTTTTTTTTTGAGGTAATGTAACCTGTCCAGATATTATTTGACCATTGAATTCATTTTAGTTTTTTTATCAATACGAGCAATTCTTGCAAGAATCGAATGTAACAAACATTAAATGAGTTACGCAGGGAAACTCATACAGGAGAATCCGTGTCTGAATGCATCGGAATCATGGTCGGCTGGGCCGGAATTGGTCGATTTTGTCCAAGATCACCAAAGATTTTAATGAAATCATTAGCTGTTCATTAGGTAAAAAATGGCTAGTTAATAATTCTGCCACAGACTATGCTAACTAATGTCTTCCTAATTTCGATGCATTCCGACCCGGAATTTGGAGATTCCCTTATCTAATGATAAGGTATGTATCATATATGCTGCAAGTCAGGGCTGAGCTCAAAAATAAACAATCAACTTTTTTTTGGCGTTGGCGTCGCCCAAATTAATCTAGAACATTAGTCTATTCTAAAAAAAAAAGAACGAACAAACGAATTATCAATCATATCAAATATGATAAATAAAAAAAATCTTGATCGATCACCATCTTTAAATATGAGACATAATCATCTAATTTTTTGATCTAATTCGTCAAATAATTTTTTTTTTTTTTTAGAAAATAGTAGCCAAACAGCATGAATAAAGTTTACTAAAGTTAGATTCATTGAGATTCATTGAGCGTAGTAGCATAAGATAACCAATGAGACGTTGGCACATGATTTTATGGTGTTGAATGTGCGCATTTATATAAGTGCATATATTAATTGAATAAACAGATCTTCATTAATGGATATCAATATCTATATGTTGGAAATTTCTTTGTCGATAATGATAAATCCCCTATTATGCTAAATTAGGAACAGAAATCTTCCTTATGGCATTTTGATTTGTATTTTTAGAATCTAACCATCCCATATTCGGCCATAGTAACAAGATCATGCGATTTTGCGATTTTACGACTTTGCGACTTTTTTTTTTATCTTACATTTCAGACATACATATAATATATATATATAGTATACTGAACTGTGATCCGGTTCAATCCTGGACCGTTCTTGTTTATGATCGAGAACTCGGTCTTATCAAGAACTCGGTCTTTAAGGGCCGATTAATATCCATCCCTACCGCGACAACACTGGTTACATTTACTATAATTTCAGAAATTGATAAAAATAGAAAAGAAAGGATTGTTTATCTTTAAAATTCCGAATTTTAATTCCGAATTTATAGTTCGAATGACTTATCCATAATTGGTAGTGTATATGGCGTGTTTCCATAACGAAGATTTATTGAATAAAAAATATTATATAAGACCTAAATATGTAGTTCCTCTAAGACTAATTAAGAAATGAAGGACATACACGTACCAACAATTTTTGCGTTGTTGCACAGAAATTTATTAATTAAAAAAAAATTTTTTTTACTACGAATAAACATTGTTTGTGTCAAAGTAGTATGGATTATCGATAGGGTATGAAGTATGATAACTAAGATATTTTTTAAAATTAAAATTTTCAAATATATGCGTGTAATATTTTGAAATGAATCTCTTGTGTATTTACGCATATACAATATATATATTTAATAAACCATACATCAATCCCACAAGTTATTGCAATTTATGTATAATACAAGGTGTGTAATATTGACATTTATACAGACATTAATTATCATTAAAAATAATGTAATAAAAAAAAAAAAACTATGCTTTTTTTTTTTTCCTATGCTTAAGCTAATTGGTGTCCCAATTCACCTTTTGGTCCTTCATCGACGTCATGTTTTTCTTCTTCAACAGCACCGGTTTTCTATTAAAAAAAAAAAAAATCGGAATTGTAAATAACCTTGACAATAATTATTAAAATTTTACACTTGCAAAAAATGAACTTTAATATATTACCGATACTGTTTTAAAATCCAATTTATCGAACAAATACCAATATCCAGCAGCCAGTAAACTACCCGCAGTGGTACCAATATAATAAATCCAATGACCATTACCGTAGTCTCCGAAAACTATGGCAGGACCAAAGGTTCGTGCAGGATTCAAACTATTTGAAATAAATAGATAATAAATTATAAATATAATTACGATTATTAAAATAATTATCATCAAACATGTATATATATATATATATATATATTGAATCTTACCTAGCGCCGGTGAATGGACCAACTATGAATTAGAATTAAATGTAGATAGATAAGTTAGCAATAAGAAATGGATTGAAACAACTGTAAAGCACAAAACTTACCAGATAGTGCTGAGATGAATAAGGAAATACCAACTACAAATGGTCCCATGAAACCTTGGTTTCTTGATTCACTGGCAATAAAGAGCACAGCAAATGTTAAGACAGACGTTGCAAACATTTCCAAAAAGAAACCTTGAGCAACTGTTGTATTAGCGGCCTAGAAGAAATTCAGTAATTAGTTAAATGTTTTTTAAACGTTTTTAAACAAAATAAAAATAAAGATAACGTACCAACGTAGTGGCACCATTAGCAGCACCAGGTATGAGAGTTCTTATAAGGAATGATCCAAAGAGGGCACCCAAGAATTGAGCTATGATGTACAGAGTACCTCGTAAAATTGTCAATCTCTTGATAGCCATCAGACCAATAGTTATGGCAGGATTGAATACTCCTCCTGAAATTGGACTCCAAATGAAGACATTCGCCATAAGTGACCATCCGAATGAAAATGGAATTCCAACACTACCACTATAAAAAAGCAAGACGTTAAAAAACTTTATAAAAACTTTATAGTATGGTAACAATAAAAACACCTATAAATACATACATTGAAGAAGTACCAAAAGCCATAGCACCTCCGACACCTACAAATAAAATAAATAAAAAATCAATAAATTATATTATCAACCATATCGAAAGAGACGTGTAAAATCAACGATTTTTCATAACGATAATTACCCATAAATAAAAAATATGCAGTTCCTAAGAATTCTGCTAATGCAGCAGTTATATCATATCTCAAAAATTTGAAAGTAATTAGACCAGCCATTTTACTTTACAAAATTTTATTTCGTAATTCTTAGAAATTTAATAGTTTTTTTAAAAAAAAGAAAATGTATACGTAAAGGCGAATTTCTTAGCACGGATGATAGGTAAACCATTAGAAAAAAGTCATCTTTTTATAAGAAAAATTTGTTTATAAGTTACAAATAAAATAATATATATGTATATACAATGCGTCGTTTATAATATACTATGCTTATTCGATTCATTTGCATGCAATATTCACAATGGTAGCACATTATTCCTATTTAGTTTAGGCCATAAAGTAATCGGAGCCGAGGCAGGAGTTCTTTTTTTTCATTTATAATAACACCACTTTTTCTTTTCAAACCAATTATCCAATAATTGAATGATTGTTCGAGTAAGGAAAGTGAACACAACAATCCAGAGTTCCTGTTTCGGACATATAAAACAACACATCTTTGTACTACCTATAAAAGTGTAAAAACAATCTCGTCTTATTGAGTGTTTAAGGGGGCTTTGACATATTTACGGCATTGATATTTGTTTTTTTGTTTAAAAAAAAAAATGCAACAAATTCGTTATTTATCATATATGTATTTGTATTTGTAATATGCATTTACGCGGATAAAAAGGTACTAAGTAATATATTTAAAGTTTAGATGTGGAGAAAAAAAGTTATAAAGAAGTAAGCATTTCTTTCACTTATTGATCGAACAAGTAGGCATACACATACAATGATAAAAAAATTATACATTCTCACATGATTCGTTTCATGATTTTTTTTTTTTTTAAGTTTAATACATACATTATTTTCCCTAGACTAAATGGTGGTTTATAATGAGATTTGATACTGAAATAGTAAACATACTTTTATGCAATTCTCTATATTCTTATTATGATTATTATGCAATTATCAACTAAATCTAGTTTAAATCATGATATTTTACGTATTCTAATAAATAATCTAATAAATAATCTAATAATAATAATCTAATAACTAATCTTATAAATAATCTACAATTAATATAAATATATATCGATATATAAAGATGTTTAACCAAATATATCAATTACTTATTTAGATCTACAATATTTATTTTTTTCATGTAACCACATATTTAGCATATATAGCAACGTGGCTGTCGATGTCGATATGATTTTCGTTTCTCCGAGGTAAATTCTCCTGAAAGTTAGCCTATGAACAGGATTTTCATGAAACAGTTTCAAGAATGACAAAAACAAATCAAAAACAAAGATAAATAGAACAACTTAATACATTATGTAATTACTAAATTTGGCTCTCATCACCTGTTCCTCAATGATTCACCATATTCTTAATCATCATTGATGTTGATTTCGTCAGGGACGGGCACGATCTTTATTGTTATTGTAAATATACATAACGATCGTTTAGTATAATGCTTACTTGTTTCTTATGACCGCCCTGACGGAATCCTGTAAAATATATTTTTGTCTTTTTCTTTATTTGATGATACGACATTACAATTTCACATATTGTCAATGGAATGCATAAAGATAAATCCACAATTGCATAATCGTGCTGAATCTGCAGGGTATTAAATAAGACTGCTACATTTTTCTCGTTATGTAAATTAAAAAATTCAATGAATTTCATGTCAATCGTTTCTTAAATGCGTGTTACAAACAGGATCTTTTAATTATTCTTATTATTGCATGCGATAGGTAATCAGGTTTCTAATCACCTTAACTTGGATAATGGTTAGGTTTTTTTTTTTTTTTATTGTTATTATAGAGTCAATGCATATCAGCTGTTAGTTAATTAAGTAAGACGTTAATTAAGACTTTAATTAAGACTTTAATTAAATTCAACTCATCAAATCTCTTTCCTAAAATAAAACAATCTATGACATAACCTCGTAATATATTCGCATATACGTTCGTACGTTCGTACGTTCGTTCGTCCGTACATATGCACTATGCCCGTAAACATTCTAAAAAGGTTTCTGTGTCACATAAATTTCGGGTTAAAGATTAAAGTTCGGTTTTAGGATACAAAGAATAGTATCATCACAACTTGCTGCATTGTTGTACGAAGTGCAATTGGGACAAAATTGGTCAAAAACTTGAAATTTTCTGCTCTTAAGTGGAAATCACTAGCTAAAATCAAAATAATTCGACATGTCGAATGGCATCTTTGACATCCCATTCAACATGTCATTCAACATATTCAACATCCCATTCAACATCCCATTCAACATATCATAATATTATTCAATATGCTATTCAACATATCATAATATCATTCATTCAATATGCCATTCAACGTGTCGTTCAATCAACAGCATTCACATATTTGGTCGAATGGCAGCTGAATGATGCCATTCGACATGTCGAGTTTTTTTTTTTTTTGATGTTGACCAGCGAATGTTTAAATTTTTACACATGCATCTTTTTCATAAGCTACAAATTGGATTATTTTTAATAAAACAAGATGGAACACCAGGGACGAGACAGGACGAAAAAGAACGAAATAGCCAAAATGTATATATTACAGTTCTTCAGGATCTTCAAATAGAGAATTTGATTTTAAGATTTTTTAATTCAAATTTAAAAAGCATTGGTTTTTATTTATATGAAATACACTTTTTTTACTTTACATTAGCTTAATAAGATATTGAGTTTTTTTTTTTTTTTTAGATTTGAAAAATTAATCATTCGAAGAGGTAGTGTTCTAAAAGTAGATAACAACCAATCAGAAGGTTTTTCAATTTAACTTGACGAATTGAATTCAAGCATGTGATCTTTTCGTACAAACATTTATAATAATATTAATCATATTTTTCTCAAATCTTAAAATCCCCCCTCGAAAACAGGTTTTCCTAATCCATTTCCAAATCTTAAGATGGGCTGGTATTAATATCAAATCGAAGTGCATCAGATTAACCATGCTGGGTTTAGTCTAGGACAGCGATAGTAAACATAAAAATATACGGAACAGTTACTAATGAAATAATTAAGGGAGAATAAGGGAATATATAAGAGCACAACGATAGATAATAAGGGAAAGGGAGGTAAGTAATTACTATCGCATGGAAAGTAATGGTTTTAAGAGTGACGAAATAAATATCAATTATATTTTAATTTCAAGAAGGGATGATATGATCGAATTAAACTAAAAAATAAAATAGTTTAAATTCTTGAACATGGTCATGATGAAAAAGATAAAATAAAATTTATTTAAATTATAGTAATGATATTTTTAGTTTTGAAATTTTTATTTAACTTGTCTTATTTAGAGAATCGAATTTTAAATGTTTTTTTTTAAAAAAAAAAATGCGTAGCAGGTTTTTCAATAATAAATAATCTAGCCCCAATATGACACCTGCAATTAATCAATAAAACCATGTAACAAAATCAAAAACAAACGCTACGTATCTCTTCGTTTGTTAAAAGTTGCCTACAAAAGTTATATAAAGGTTTAAAAGTTTTTTTATATTTTTATTTTAATTAATATAAAATTTATTAATTTAGTATAATTTAGTATAATTTAGTATTAAAATAAAGATTGGTTATTTACTTTATTTTTGGTAGTCTTGTTTTTCTTTATTAAGAACATTTATATTATCTATATTTTAACTTAAAAAAGTTTTATACAGTTTCATAAAACTTAAATATAATCTATTATATCAGTTTTTTTTTTAATTTTGGTAGCCTTGCCAATAACCTTTATTAAGATTTTTGTAAAAGCTTACATTTTGACTTAAAGATTGTGATTCGACATCTTCCGACTACTTCTATGCACACCCAAAGGCAGTCTGTTGCACTGGTTGGGAATTATGCCCGGATCCAAGGGTTGCATCAAGCTAGCCTAAAGATTAAATGATAATGGCTTCAGAATCTATTATATTTGTTATTTTTCTTATTAAAAATTTTAACTTACTGAAGCTTTGCTTCTTTAAAGTCTTTAAAAATTTTAAATCATTTGTCAAGACTTTTTAATAATATTTTATAGTTTTTTGTTTGTTTCTATTATATTAAAAATATTATTTGTCAAAGTTACAGTTTTGTACTTTTTATATTTTTTTTTTTTTACTTATTTTTTTTTATTTTGTATTTTTTTTTTGTTATTTTTTATTTTTTTTTTGTTTTTTGTTTTTATTTTTTAATACTTTTTATTTATTTATTAACTTGTATTTAAAGCATAATATATATTAGTAATATTTTTAATTAAAAATTATGTATATTAATAATAATTTTAATAATTATTTAAACTAAATTATTTTGAAAACAAATTAAAAATTTAAAGATTCAAGTTCTTTAATAGATTTTTTTATTTTAGTTTTTTTAAAAAGAGGTTTATCTTTTATCTCATTTTTTTAAAATATTAATGATAAGGTTATGCTTTTAACTTTATTAAAATTTAAATGAAGTTTTTACAAAAAAAAAGCTTGCTTTTAAATTATATATAAAAAATAAAACCTCAAATATATAATTTGTAACTTAAACTTACAAAAGTATTCAAGACTATCTAGATTTGGATGTAAGTAAAAATATAAAAGAGATGAGTACAGTATTTAATCCATTGAACAGTTTAAAAACTTATTTTAGTAATAATTTTAAATATTAAAATATAAGATAAAGTAAGACTAAAAGAACTATTTGATAAGTTAATAAAAATTATAATTTGAAATTGTTCAAAATGATAAATGCAATAAGATATTCAGATATGTTTATATATTTGTTAAATTAGATAAAAAAGAAGTTTAATAGAAAAGAAAATAGCAATATAATAAGAATAGAAATATTGTGAATAGTAAAAATTAAATTAATTAAAATCAAACAAATACAGTAGAAATTAAAAAGTATTTATGTAAAAAATTATATAGAATAAAACTGTCAAGTGTAAGAATTTCTTTATGCAGATTAGAAATAAGATTAGCAAAAATGTTAAAAGAAGTTATATTTAAAATAGTTTTAAAAGAGTTAGAAAAAATATGATAAATAGTTTAAAAAGAAAGACTAATAGCCTAGTTAGAGAAGTACTAAACAGGTTGTATTTATGAAAAAGTGAAGAATAAGAAAATTTATATTTGTATAAAATATAAGCAACTGTAATTTATCAAGTAAAATTTTTACTAAAAATTTTAAGAATAAATAAGTGAAAGTTGTAAGCAAAATTAGTAATTTTTTGATTATTATTAATATAAAACCATAAAACTTCCTAGTTAATGTTAGATGCAATAGTAGTTCATAGTTAAAATCTATATTAAAATGTTTAGAAGGTTAGTATATAGACATAGCATATAGTTTAAATAGAGTAATAAATAAATATTTTTAATAAAAAATTTATCAATAAATAAAGTATAAGAAAATTATAAGAGTTATTAATAAGAAATATAAGAAATAATAAGATTTAATGATTGCAAACTAGTTAGATAGTAAGATTGTTAAATGGATTATCTTGGTGAAAACAACTTTATAAAAAATAAGTTAAATATTGTAAAAGTTAATAAAATTAAAAAAGATGTATTGTAGATATGCCTATTTAACACAGTTCCTAATTTGATGCATTTATATTATCTTATATTCTAGTAGTTATAATCATATGATTTTAGTACCATTTAATTCATCTTATTGATACAAGTTAAATAGTGTTAAAATTATATAATTCTAATTACTAAATTATAAGATATTGTTATTTAATTAATTTAAATTAATTTTCTTGTTTGGAGCTTTGGCAAGAAGTAATTGTGACACATTAAAATAAACTTTTTATACTAAATAAACTAATACTTATATATTCAGAAAAGTTATTTTTACTAATAAACTTTATATAAATTTAAAATATAACAAAGTTTGAACTTTTTTTTTAATAAAGCATGTGCATTTATAATATGTATTTAAATAGCTGTAATTATATTTTAAATATAAGTAACTATTGCAAAAGATTATTATTAAATACTTGTAATTAATTTTGTCATATTATTTTAATTTATAAATATATAAATAATGAGTAAAAAAGAAACACAATTCATAAAACTTTAATATGCATAGGTAAATTGTGCAATCTTAATTATTAACTTACTTTTGCAAAATTTTATAATAATGATCAAATTGTGTGATCTTAATTATTAGTTTACAAAATTTTGTGACCTCAGTTATTTTTTATATCATGATACAAATTAATCCATTTGCAATTACCAATTTTTCAGACATAATAATAGCAATAATGATAATATATATTATTATTATCACTATTATAATGATTAAAAAATTGATAATTTAACTGTGGTTCAATTATAAATGCTTGTAAATATTTACAAAAAAGCTTGTAAAATGCTATATAAAACTGTTTTTTTAAATAAATAAAACTTTTATATTTAAACAATTATAAATAACTAAACTGCATATTGTAATATAAAAAAATAACAACTTATTATAAATTTTAAAATTATGATCAAATACAGTGATTATAATACCTGTTATAATGCTATTAGTAATGGCCTTAAGGCAATTAAAGATACTACAAGTGCTTTTAAAACTTCAAATATTAGAAGTATTGCAAGAGATTATAGTCTTTTAGAAGCTATCTTTAAATAAGCTGTTAAAAACAACAGTCCTTCTGCTTACTTTGACTGTACTAAAATTTTGTTAACTAAAAAAAAAAAACAGCTTGTGAATATTGTTTAAATATGCAAAAACTTAGTTTTGGATTAACAAAATCTGATATAAATCAGTATATAATAAATATTGTTCATTATGATGTGTAACTTTATCCTTTTGATAAGACTGGACTGAAGCAAAATTGGTAGCAATGCTTTATAAAGAACTACCTTAAACTTTTATTTTATATTTTACAAGCTCTAAATAAAGCTTATGCACAAAAAGCAAATCTTATCATTATTAATGATCTTTTTAATAAACTTAAAAAAAATTATTTATAAATATTTATTTATTACAAATCATATTTGAAATATGATAGCTTTTTTTTTATTTTTTTATTTTTTATTTTATTTTATTTTTTATTTTATTTTTTATTTTATTTTACTTTTATTTTTATTTATTATTATTTTTTTTTAAGAAATGAAACTGGGTTTATTATTGAATCTAGTTTTTAGAAAGTTATAACCAAAAAAAAAACATGCCAAGTTTTTCAAGTTTCATATAGCAGCTCTTATGAGCATATTTCTATATACTCAATTATTTTAGTTGCCAGAACATACACCCTACTATTGTTTATTTTTAAAGAAAAAAGAATGATTTCAGATTTTCTAAAGAGTGCTTCTGCAGATTCTGTTATAGGATTTACTAAAACAAAATATATATAGAAAAGCTTATTCCAAAAATATATTGAATATTTTGTTAGTTCTATCTCACTTTTATGTTTCATTTTGTTAATTTTAAACAGTTATAAGAATTATGTTAATTACATTAGAGTTAATTATTATTATAAGTATAGTATTCTTCTTTATATCTTTTTTTCTCATACTACTTATATCTTACAACCAGCCAAATTACCATTTGCTACATTAAAAAAGGCATATAATAAAAAGTATAAAAAGTTTTATATTAACAATAATAATAAGCTTATAACAAAACATATATTTGCTTGAGTATTTGGACTATTCTACATTGCAACATATATGCCTATGACAATATACAATACTTTAAAGTTACCAAAATTTGGCTATTTAATCCTAATACAATTGGCTCTGATTATCTTAATCCTTTATTGATAATAGAACATACCTACCTACAACATTTTAATCAGCA